TTGTTCCTCCTACAATTTGCACCTCAATTTACACCCTCCTCGAGTTTGCACCCCTCATTGTCAAACATAGTGTCAATGTCCATGACCACACACAATAATTGTTTACAGTGAAAATGTTGATATGTGTCTTAGCTAGCTAGCTAGGTGAGTGCAAGTTTAAAACTTTAAATGGTCCACTTATCCTAACCGCGTTCACGGGTTTCCGCGGTCGATTGTCAGTGATCGGGATTCGGTTTTCTTGAGCCGTTTCTGGCAGGAGGTATTCGCTTTGGCTCAGACGACATTGCGAATGAGCTCTGCATACCACTCACAGACCGATGGCCAGACGGAGGTGGTCAACCGATATTTGGAGCAGTACCTGCGTTGTTTTGGTCATCAGCAGCCGCGGCGATGGTTGGCTCTGTTACCCTGGACCGAGCTATGGTATAACTCCACATATCATAGGGCGATTCAGACGACCCCGTTTGAGGCACTGTAAAGAAGACCACCACCTTCATTGGTTCGCTATCAGCAGGGCGCCAGTCAGGTGGATGCGGTGGACCGTTGGCTCGGGACTCGGGATGAGGCATTGGAGGAGCTCAAGGCCAACCTGGCTGCTGCTAATAACAAAATGAAGCAGTTGGCAGATGCAGGCAGGCGGGAGGAGGAGTTCGAGGTGGGGGACTGGGTTCTGCTTCGCCTTCACCCCTACAGGCAGGCTTCCGTTTTCCGGCGAGCTTACCAGAAGCTGGCTGCCCGATACTTTGGTCCCTATGAGGTGCTGCAGAAGATTAATCCGGTGGCCTACCGCTTGCAGTTGCCAGCAGATGCTCATATTCACCCTACCTTTCATGCGTCGTTGCTGAAGCGCTACGGAGGAGCCGCGGATCGGGTGGAGACGACGGCGCCACCAGTCTCTGCCGATGGTAACCTTGTACTTACCCCTGTGCAGGTTGTGGATACCAGGTGGGTTCGGAAGGGAGGGCGCCTGATTGAGGAGAGCTTGGTTCTGTGGAAGCACATGACGCGTGAGGATGCTACCGGGGAGGAGACTGCCACACTACGACAGCGTTTCCCGACATTTGACCTTGAGGACAAGGTCGTTTCTGATGGGGAAGGGGATGATAGAGACCCGCACGGGTAGGGGGGTCGGGTTGGGTTTGGCCGACTGGGCCGGGTTGGTTTTGTTATTCTGTGTTAGTTCTGAAACTCATAAATAGGGTTCTGCACATTCATTTACAGGCAGGCAATAATAACATCAAAATCACTAAATCCCTCTTTTCTCTGTTCTTCCCCAATTCTATTTCCAATCCCTAATTCTTCTTCACAACCCCAAACCCTACTCTTTTCTATCATACTACACTTAGCCGCTTAGCAGGATAGGCAAACTCTTATTCTAAATCAAGCTTGTGTTGGTACATAGAATCATATCTCAACCCAAAAATAATAGAGTAATGAGCAGGGGGGCAACCTGTTTTGAATTTTTTTCTATTAATCCCAAGTTTCAGAACCCTAGACGCTCTAGAGAGACGGGGGGAAACAGTAACTTGATTCTTTCCCTAGTAGGTGGTGAAAACCTTTGTGTTGTTTTTGTTATTGTTTTGTCTCTTGGGGGAATAGTTTTAAGTTAAAAGAGGAGAAACAGACATCTTGGCAGTTCTATCTATCTCTCCCTCTTGGAGGAAATTAAAACACATCCAAGCTCCCAATGCAAAGAGCATTTAATGTGCTTGGTGATATGGAAGATTCGGTTCCCTTGAAGTGTGCATATTTATTTGTATTTTTTCCCCCTGCTTTCATTTGTTTACTTCAAAAGAGAGGTGGAAAATATCAGAAGCAACATGTTTGACAATACTAACCTGTTTGTTGTGTCACTATCTGTTTCAGCTGATGGGCTCGAGTGGCTGGCTTGTTAGCTAGCAAACAGAGACTTGAAATTCAGTTGCTTGAGCAGGCACCGTTGGTTGTTTAGATTTCCAACTTCGCCTCCCTCCATTATTACCAGTATCTCCTGCCAAGGAGAAGAAAAAATTACTAGCCTGTTCCAGTAATGAGATACCACGTGATGATGACGACATCAAACACCATGGTCCATGGCCAAGGCGCTAAGCTAAGCTAATCTGTTGCTGCTGCTACGTTAGACGTTAGAAGATAGACATCTATCAACAATACAGGCCTGCTGCACATGAATGACAACAGACTAATTGTGCAACTATCAGCATTGGAACAAAATAAAAGGTAGAAAGCACAGCATCTCCAACGAGCCATTTGTTGAACTCCACATCAAAGGCATGGAACTTGAATCCTACAGCAGTAGCAAATTGGTGTTATGGTGCATGGTTAGCTTTTAGAGCGCAGTGTGCTAGCAAGGTTCGCAATACCATCCATTGAGGCAAGTAGGCTACATATTTTTTTCCTGCTACCCAATTTTAATGAATGAGTCAAGAAAGCAAACTTCAGACTGTTTAATAGAAAAGAAGATATATTACCTACTTTGAATTAGAGTGTCATTGCATGCCTTGGGCACCACGGACATTCAAGTGAAAGTTTCATACTAGGGAAAAAAAGAGAGCAGATGTACAAGGCAATCAAGTGAATGTTCCATAAAAAAAAATTATTTTTTTTGGAAAGAACTGACTACTGATCCATGTACGAATTAATGCACCGCTTGATCGCCCAGCAAACTTACCCCCTGATTAAAGCACACTTTTATCTTTCCCTACATGCCATTATCTTTTCCATTTCAATGGCATATCACACATATGTCATAACAAACCCAAGAGGGTTCCCTAGTTATAATAGGAGATGACTATATCCAGCTAGCTCATCCTAGATTCGGAACTTAATGCCAGTTTTACCTATAAAAGATAATTGTGTGCGATAACTGCAGCTAGCTCATCATAGTTAATATATCAGTAACTTCATCTATCAAGGTTAGTGACAAAGGGTAATGCTTAGATCACAATTGAAAAATGTCATAGTTAATTTCCATAAGAGTAAATCTTTAATGTCAAATATTAAGATAATCCTCACTTGAAACCTGCAAAGGAATTCTTATGATAAACTACAATCTGACAACTTTGTCCTATTGCTACAGATCATCAGTACATTGAGAATCAATTAGATGCTCTTCATATGCCCAACCAGAGCACAGCAGAGGTTGCAACCCCTCTACGTCAACTCTTGGCTTTGCCTTTTCTTTAAATTTATTTTTCCAGCTAAAAACGTACTTATGGTATAACCACGTGCAGCCTTGCTCGCTACTAGTGGTATATCCTAATTTTAAAGCTATATTCTGCCTAATACTTGTGTCCATCATTCTCAAATCTTCCTGCCTTTCTTTCTGGCACTTGGCTACTTAAGCTGTTGAACCGAAACAAGGAAAACTACATCTAGTCTGCATAACAAAACTCACCAGTCACCAAGTAGTTGTTATTTGCCAGCCTCGACTAATTAACTTCATTTCAGGTGACCACTTGCAGTATGAAATCAGTTACTCTGCTGCACTGGTAGATCCATTAGCATATATATACATAAGTTGGATATGCATCACACTCAACCCTCACAGATGTTGTGCACCCTTATCTCCATTATGCCGGTATGGTCCATGAAGTTCTTCTCGAAACCTAGCAAAGAACCTGATCGAGTTGTCTACATGAACAAGTTTGTTTTCTGAAGAAAAAGATGAATTTTAAGTGGGAATATCATTATATAAACACAAGAAAGAAAATTCTACATTGCCATGGCCATCAACTCCCAAAGCAGCGAGCTATTCCACTGGTTCATGACTATTTTTAACTGATATATCCAATTAAAACTTGAAAATAGAAGTCAAGCTTTGAATTTCTTCTTAATAAATGGGCATATCACAACCAAAGCATCACCTCGCCATCATTTTAAATTAAGCAGTAGCAGTCAATTTATGAAGCTAGTTACAGAATTTAAGCATAATTTTTTATTTTAGAATAACCACAAAGCATTTAAGCAAACTATCTAGCAGAATAGGTTACAATCTGCTTCCTCTTAGTGATATAATTGTAGTAATGATACCACTAATTGTTATCTGCAGCAGTCCTTACCAAAGAAAGAAAATCATAGTCAAGATGGACTACAACATTTGAGCACAATCATAAGGCATTTAAGATAAAACAATTCCATATCACCAGCCTGGATAGCTGGCTGCATTATACATTTGCCTTGCTGTAGTTCATTTTAACTATTATTTAGATGAGGGGAGCAAGGGGGTGTAGGGTAAGGCCACCCTGGGATGTTGTTCATTTTAACTGTTAAGGAAACAGTTAGCAGTGCAGGCAACACATACCAAAGGTTGAAGCTCCAAACCTCAGAGCATGCTCCTTGACCCGCTTAACCCCATAAACCCGCTTCTGGACATTGTAACGGTTCACCAGTTTTGACATCTTCTTGATCAGCATTGTTAAGGGATACTAGGGTCTTGTCACATGCATGAACGAAAAAAATTCAAAGTACTACTAGGATCAGCAGGATTGAAAAACCTGTTTTCAATCAATGTAAGATAATTATTAGCTCTTCTACAAAACAAGATATGCACAACACACTGGAAACTGATAGAATACCAATAACAGAAGAAAGTTCCCGAGCCAAATCGGCTGCAAAAAACTAGGAAAAATGGTGTCAACTAAAAGATAAAACTAACGTGAACATGTCTTGTTTTCGTGATGATCCTATATTCATTCCCACCTCTTGCCAGAACTAAAACTTCAATTGAGTTAACTGATTATCAAGACAAATAACTGAGCAAGTACTTCTAAGTCACAGAGAGCCACAGAGAATGATCTCTAGGAATGAGATGTTCAACAACTTCAAATGCAAGAATAATCAAGTTACCAAGAAATATTGCGAAGTCCAGATTTATGAAGCTAGGCTTAACCAAATACGAGTTGATATTTTCTTCTACAACGTCTCAATCTAGGGCGACAACAGGGAAGGTTCAAACTAACAAGCTAGCAACGGCATATCACTTCTATTCGTAGTTCGATATCTCAAATTTCCATATAGAAGAGGTAAACGAAATTGACCGGACGAGCGATGGCATGAATTCCGTTTTCAAGTGAGTGCTCAGCGAAATTCAGCCACTCCTCATACGAGACTCGCATCCACTGATAAGTGGAAGATTTTAGGTCTCGCAGCAGCACAGCAACCCTTGATACTTGAGCGCCAAACTAATGTAATCAAAATCGCTCTTAAAAGCTTAAAAGCTTACATTTTTACGTTTTTAGGTCACTAAAACGCTTCTACACAAAAACTCAATTTTTATAACTAATGTAGTTAAAAATGCATTTTAAACCTTAAAAACTTACGATTTTACGCTTCTAGATTACCAAAACGTTACTACGTAGAAACACGCTTTTGACTCACAAATAACTCTATAAATGTAGATTCAAATTCAAATGAAATGTAAGAGACTAATCGGAAATTGTTTCCGAGGATGAGAATTTGCACCTCGATATCGCTTATAAGAACGAAAGCGCGGACGAAAAATTGAGGAGGGAAAGCTTCTGCTCGACTGTGCGCGGTGAGAGCTCGCGAATGGCGGTGAGAGATTCCGATTCTTTCAAGCTCCATCGCGTTTCCATGATCGACTTCACATCTTTGCAAGCGAGAATCGATTCGAGGATCTCAGGGATTGGTCGTCGAATCTGCGAGAGACGACAGATATTGCAGAAAGAATAGAAGCGAAAATTGAGCATTGTCGAGGAAGAGTAGAGAACGGAAGGTAGGAGAACTAAGGAATTTAGAGAAGGAACCTTCTGACTACGATTTGGGAACGGAAGAGACGGATGTGCTGGGCAGTGTCCGAGAGCGACCATTTGTGCAATGGAATTGGCGGGGAAGGCTCGTACCTTTCGATTTGTTATTTTCACGGTGATTTAAGCCCTGAATTATGAGCTTCCTTGAACTCCCTGAACTATTTGTTTTTCACTCTTACCGTCCCTCGTGTACTCGTTTATCTTACTTATTCCCGATCGTCAAACTTTCGTCAATTCACCGCATAAATGGGTCTCATTTTGCTATTATTTACATACTCTTACAGTTCCTCATGTACTCGTTAATCCTACTTTAGTCCCGATAGTCGAACTTTCGTCAATTCACCATCATAAATGGGTCTCATTTTGCTATTATTTACATACTACAGTCCCTTAGGCCCTGTGTAGTATTGTTGTGTGTTTTTGTTTCCAGTTGTGATTTTAAGAATTGTAGAAACCAAGAAAAGAAAACATGTTTAGTTGAGTTTTTTTATTTTTGTTGTGGACTTTAGTGCATCAGGTTTTAACAACCAAGCCCAAATCAGCAAAACAATAAAAGATGGCTTCGTGGCTGTTTTATCTCATGATTGCCTACGGGATTTTCTTTTCTTTTTTCGTTGAATCAACAGCCTTTTATTGAAAGAAAAACTCTGATACAACGAAGCAAGACCCTCTGGTCCTGCGTGAGAAACACTACATCATGATGCCAACTATCCCTGATCACTCTATAAACTACTTACAGTGTAAAAGCAAAGAGTTCATAAGTATCCTAACTTCACCATTCCATCTCTTACTGCCTTGTTACCACATGTAAGGAACAAGAGTTCTGCTTTGATCGTTTCTGCTACTGCACCTGGAGATCGAAGTGCAACCCCATGAATGATCCCACACCTTTCCTTCCATAGTATTGCAACCAACAAACACCATAGAAGAGCATGCCATTTGCCCACCTGAAAGTTACTGCGAACTTTGCTGCCAACAGCATGTAACATAACTCCCCAATCATCATGTCTCAAAAGCTGACAATGCAAGCTGACGTGAGTATGAACACTGGAGGAAAAGATGAGCTCTAGTCTCTGCGTCCATCCCACAGAAAGGGCATGAGGCTTCATTAATCTTGCCCCACTTCTTTAGCTTATCCCTTGTGATAATAGCGTTTTTAACTATAAGCCAGGCAATGAAGCTGTATCGCTGAGGACACACCCCATTCCATATAAGCTTGTGCCAAGGAACTTTAGGAGCTTTTTTTCTCAGCGGTTCCCAAACGCGCCTCACTGAATACACCTGCATATCCCAGAAAACAACACCATTCTGCATATGAGTCCAAGGCAAAATAACAGTCCTTAATTTTAGAATTCGGCGCCATGCCCAAGAGTTACTATACTGAACTCTCATATAAGTCCCCCTGCTTGCATTTGGCTACTATACTGAACTCTCATAAACCATAAGTCCCCCTGCTTGCATTTGTATTCATACATCCATACTACCCAAAGTGCTCCAGATTTCATGAGGAACAGCCACAACATACGAATTGTGCAAGCCTTATTCCAGGTAAGCAAGTCCTTCACTCCCATGCCACCCTCCTGTTTTGGCAAGGCAATCTCGTCCCAAGCCACCTTGACTTTACCCTCCACAGCTCCATGCCATAGAAAACTCAAGCAGACTTTCTGAATGCATTTAAGAACCTTCTTGGGGAAAACAAACAGCTGCATCCAGTATTGAATAACTCCAAGCAAAACCGAGTTTACCAATTGCAGCCTTCCTGCATAAGTGAGCTTTCGAGCCCTCCAAGATCGAATACGCTTTGTGATTTTGTCCACCAAAATATCAACTTTTGTAGATGACAGCTTACCAGTCATCAGCGGCAGCCCCAAGTAACGAACTGGCAAGTTACCCTCATTAAACCCAGAAAGAAGCAGAGCATTATGTTTGTAAAGAACAGACTCACCTCCAAAATAAATTTCACACTTAACAGAATTACTTTTAAGGCTAGAGATCTGATAGAATGACTGCAACACTTGCTTGACCTGTAAAATTGCCTGGGCAGAACCCGTAGTAAAGACCAATATATCGTCAGCAAAGCACATATGATTTTGTGCAATCCGACGACATTGAGGGTGAAAAGGGATTACTCCTTCCTGCCCTGCAGATTGTAACATAAAAGATAATCCTTCCATTGCGATGGTAAAGAGATAAGGTGACAAGGGATCACCTTGTCTGACCCCTTTCTGAGCCCGAAAGAACCCACACAAGCTTCCATTGACATTTATACTGTAATGAGCTGTTTGAATACAACTCCTGATCCACCCCAGAAACTTTGGAGGAAAACCCTAGCGCTCATCATATGAAAATGATACTGCCAGTTAACTGAATCGAACGCCTTCATAATGTCTATCTTAATAGCACATCGTGAAGATAAATCAACCCTGTTGTATCCACTAACCAATTTCTGTGCCAACAATATATTGTCCATTATACTTCTCCCCTTGATGAAAGCTGACTGAGTATTACTGATAATAAGAGGCATCACTTCCCTAATTCGCTTAGCAAGGATTTTCGCAATGATTTTATAGAGCAGATTGACACAAGAGATGGGTCGAAAGTTCTAAAGAGTATCAGCACCAGGAACTTTTGGGATAAGAGAGACAGCAGTGGAATTGACTCCACTGGGTAATTTACCTGTTTGGAAGAAGAACAATACCCCCTGGTGACATCAGCACCTATAATTGACCAAGCACGCTTATAGAATCCAGCAGAGAACCCATATGGCCCAGGAGCCTTTTGGGAATTCAAACTGAAAACTGCCTGACGAACCTCCTCTGCTGTGATATCTTGAATCAGTGTTTCACATTCTGAGGCTGGAATTTGCCTTTGGACCAGTTTCCTTACCTCATCCACTCTCGGCTGGATTGCTGCATTTGCCTCCCCCAACAACTTTTTGTAAAAACCTACCACTTCCTCTATAATTTGCTCAGACTGAACTACCTCCACTCCTTCATCTGTAATCAGCTTCCTAATAGCACGCTTCAAATTTCGAATTTTGACAGCTTGATGGAAAAAGTTCGAGCTCTTATCTCCCACTGATAACCAAGAAACCCTCGATTTTTGCCAGCAAAAACTATCATAAGCAAGCACCAGCTGATCAAACTGAGCCTGAGCTTGTGAAACAGCCACAAAATGGTCAGTTGTAGGGTCGGAAAAAGCAATAATCTGCACTCTTTGCAACTCTTTTTCAGTTGCCAAAACTTGATCCTGTAGATTCCCAAATACCTCTTTATTAAATTTTTTCAGAGCTTTTTTCACTTCTCTTAGTTTACCTTGAACAATCTGTAACGGTGATCCAGAAATATCCACACGCCAGGCCTCCTCAACAATTTCCCAAAACCGGGGATGCTCAGCCCAAAACTCAAAATATTTGAATGGTTTAGGGAGCGACTTGACAGGCAGAGTTGTACTAACCTGCACTCCACAGTGATCTGAAAAATGTGAAGGAAAAACCTCCATTCCACAATGCTTGAACTTATCAATCCACTCTAGATTCACCAATGCTCTATCAAGTTTCTTTGCTACAGGGTTATTTGCTTGCCTATTAGTCCACATATATTGTGGCCCTGTAGTGCGATAGTCCAACAATTCCATATCCCCAATCCACTTATTAAATGTTGTCATACTAGATGTCATTGACCTCTTATTTGATGTTTCTTCAGGGGAGCGGACAGTATTGAAGTCCCCCCCCCCCCCCCCCCACAATCCATGGTCTTCCCACCACTTGAAGCTTTGCAATCTCCGAATAGGTAGTCTGTCTCTCAGCTTCATCATTTGAAGCATATACAGCTGTCAGAAAGAAACTATCACTATTCACATCTTCAACCAAGCAGTGAACAAAAAAATTTCCAGGCTTGAGAACCCTGATTTTGATTGTTGGGTCCCAAAATAACCAGACCCTTCCTAACTTTGAATCAACACAAATAAGACATCTTTCCCAACCCTCAAAAACCTCTGTAACAGCTTCCTCTGCCTTTTCTGCCTTAATTCTTGTTTCCAATACTGCCACCACATCAACCTTATTTCTACGAAGGACTTGCAAGAAGTCCCTTTGTTTGGGGGTCTTATTGAACCCCCCTCACATTCCAAAATATAACTATCATTTCAAGGTTGGAGGTTTCCCCCCGCCCTTCTTCATATCCTTTTTCACCTCTTTCTTCTTTGGACCTGCTGGCATCTTACCTGGCTCCTGATCTCCCAGTTTGCTAAGTACACTGAACGAAGAGGGAGTGACCTGAACTGAGCTTGCAGAACTACCTTGTGATAGCCAAACTCTAGGCTTAGCTCCATTAACTACCCTTTGAAACTCGTCTTCAGATGGCAGCTTAGGTGAAGGAGAGCCTGCCACCGCCTGAAATGAAGATTCCAAGTTCTGTGGAACAACTCTTACACCTTCCAATATTGTAGGACTAGAAAAAATTGCCGTCAGCTGAGGATCATCATCAGAAACCACCACTTCTTTACCTTTCCTGTTACTCCCTAGATGCCCCGAACCACAGGAAGAATCAACATTCCCTTCCCCACTTTTTCCACTACTTTCATGATGCTCCTGAACCATTGGTTGAATCAATACCCTGTTAACATCACTTTGTTGCTCGTCATTGCTCACAGAGATCTCTTTTACTACTTGCTTCTGCTTAGCCGCCCACTGCTTACCTTGGTGAGATGCACAAGACCCTCCTATCCCAAACAGATGGCAAACATGACACACTAGAGGCAAATTACAGTAAGATACCCCAATACGCAATGAAGATTCATCATCAGGCCAGAGTAAAACGTGATCCGGGCATTCACTATCCACAGTCAACTCCACCAGAACCTTAGCAAATCCATGTCTATCACCCATTCGCGTAGTTTGGTCTACACCCAGTGGAACCCCCAACCAGCTAGCGATCCTACTCAATCCCTGAAACTCATTGTATTCCAGCGGCACATTCGAAAGATTCACCCAAATCGGCAAGCCTTTCCTCCCGAGATCCTCAACGCTGATGTCAGGCACCCAAGGCCGAAGGTACAACAGATTATTGAACCACAACCAAGGTCCATTCTCCAAAATCCACTCACATACTTTTGGATTAGGCAGCTGAATCAACAACATCTTATCGTAGAGAAGAGAAGAGAAACCCTCACCAGTCCATCTCTCCCCCAGAGTTTGTTAACCCAGTGACGCAAGACATGGAGCGGCGGAGGGTCTTGAAGGAATTGCCCAACTAGGCTATTCTTCCATCGAGCTGCTCCTGCTTCCCGAACTTCCTTAGGCATCCGCAACCCGCCATTGACGATCTCAGGTGGAATATAGGTAAGGCAATTGGCCTCAGAAATACCAAAAAGCGACGCCCAGGGTTTCGATGGAATACCCCGCGGATCACTCTTCGGTATCTCTGGTGCCAAGGTTGTGTGAGCACCACTCTCCTCACTCATAAGAAAAGAGACAAGAGGGGAAAAAGAGTGCTCCGGCGTAGGTGCCGGAGCCGGCAACGGGGATCGATGGATCGGAAACCTCGCACCCAAATCGCTCTCTACTTCCTCTCTCTAATTTCCAGTTTTTTTATTTTTTCAATCGAAATTTATGGGGATTTTCTTTTCACTTAAGCAATTTCTTTTTTTATTATTATTTTTCTCTTTCTCCGTAACTTTCCCCATTCCCCCCCACACCCATCCCTGTCTCTGTAACCTCTCCCAAAATCATCTCCTGATCTCCATCTACTTCTCCCGTTCTCCATATGCTTCTCCAAGCGGACAGGGAAGCGGCAGCGTCGAGCTATTGGGACAGGAGCGGGGTCGGGAGGAAACTTTCCTTTCTTTTTCTTATTTTCTTCTCTGGGAAGTGGTGTTGCGCAAAAAGAATCAGTGTCGGGTTGTTGGAATGAGGCGGCAACGACTTCCCTCTCTTTTCCGGTCTTCTTCTCCGGCAAATCGTCTGCGTCGGGGTGTTGAGAGGCAGCGGCGAGGATGAACCAGATTTCCCAGATCTGTTTTTTTTTTATTCTGAAATCGAAGGAGAAGAACAGAAGTAAACATGTTTTGTATGCGTTTTTGGTGTTCCGAAATTTGTGAATTTTTTGAGATAAACACGTTGTTGATTTAAGTTGTGTTGGTGTTGTGTTGCTTTTCTGTTGGCACAACCTTGATAAAACACAACAAGATAAAAATTATACTAAACGGGGCCTTATGTTACACTATCCATTATCCCTACTTCAATTCTCCAATACTTGCCACTTGGAGAATCATAATGGTTATAAAGAGGTTGTGAAGAAGGATTCAAGATATATGGATTCAATATAGAAGCTTTATGAAATCTACGTAGAATTGCATTAATTAGTAATTAAAAATTCATATTACCATCAAAGGACGAAAATATTTCAACCAAATGAAATCACACCCAAAACCTCAATCATAATTTAACAACCTGACTCGCACGAAACTACACCACAAAATTAATCCCGACTAGAGCCCAAGTTTTTAAACTCTAGTCGGGTGCAGTATAGAGCAAGTATTTAAATTGTCAACCCGGGCCGATCCATGCACATCTACTTCAATTGCTTAAGTTGTTATCTAGCACTGCGGTTTTGGGTTTTCAAACTAAGAAAACTACAAACTAAACAAGCAAAGAAAGGCAAATAAATAAAGGAAAAGTCTAACTAAGGGAGCTTCACCCGGGAGTTGCTTTCCCCTAACTAGCTACCACGACTCGTTGGATTGAATGTAGTCGTGTGGCATAGGTGGTTGTGAACCGCGGGTAGTGAGCAACTAGTGATCAATCTGTCACAGCATCAATTCACCAGCTATCGATTTGTCACGGGATCTATCCACTCACCAAGTCTAGGGGAACGACTAGGAGGAGCAACTAGTGATCCATTTGTCACGGGATGGATTCACTCGAGGTCTATTTGTCACGGGATCGATCCTCTCACTCGGTCACTAGTTTTTTCCTAGGTCTCTCCCTCAAACCTGAGTTTGAGGGGCTTAATCACAACCAACCTAGAAGGGCACCATAATCGAGAAACCGCAGAGGAAAGCGTATGTGGTCGGAGACCACAGCCTCGATTGCTAAACCAAGGTGAGGATGAAAGGTCGTGTCACTCGACCCTTTCGATTTAGACAATCGGTAATCGACTTACTTCCTCACTCAACACTAAGGTCGGACGGTTTAACCACGATTAATCGACTTGTTTAATTCAATATTGAGGATTTCCCTAACTCAACCTAGTTTAGGTGGCTTGGAAAGGGGAAGAAAAACCAACTCAATTGAGGCCTTGTTTGCTTGAGGATTTTGATCATGGATTTGGTACATGAAACCCAAATCAAATGGACTTGTGACCAAATCCCCACTTATTTTTCTAATGCCCCTCTTCCTTTTTCTTCTAACTCGTTCCCCGCAGAGATAAGGAAAGACAAAAGGAGAGAAGAAACAAACGAAGTAAAAAATTCTCAGAAGACGAACTCGGATGGCTTGCGTCGCTGGAGAAGAAGAACACCGCCGGAAGAGCTTGTGAAGACTGATCGTTCTCGCCTTCGCCGGTGAAGAAAGCCTCGACAATCAGGTGTGTTCTGTATTTCATTTTCCCTACCATCTGTCTTCTGAAGAACCCTAAAAGAAAGGAATACTTATCTCCGTGAATGGTGTCACTGAAATGCGTGTGATGAAATTATAGGAATGAGTTTCTTCTCATCAATAGCGATGATGCTGCAATAATAAGAAAGAAATCCCAATTTTCTCTACTTTATTCTTATCTTGTTCCATTCCTGTTAGCTTTTGATTGGGTTATTAAATTTTTTATATATTATACTGATTTGGGGTGTTAAATTGAGAATAAGAATTAACTCTTAGAATATTCTGTTACCTTTTGTTTCATTTTCATTCTCAGAGTTGGTTTTCTCATTCAATTACGTATAATGAAAAGGTCCACTTGCTTTCTGGTTTTGGGTGAAAGTGGATTGAGCTTTGGAGTCTATTATCATTTATCAGTGAAAATGGGAAGGCCTTTTGCTGTTCAGTCTTGCTTAATTAGAACTGATTGGTATTATTTTCTTGTTTATGTAAGGCTATGGCTAGTTGAGACGGATATGTAATAAGGTGCAGAAGCGGAACACCGTGAAGGCTATTATAATTGTTTTAAACTTGCTGCTCGTTTATCTATCTTTGCTTATTCGATTTCTTGAGCTAGTAATGAAAAAAAAAGTTAGAGTCTAGACGTACGAACACCCCCTTGGACAACATATTTGACCGACAACATGACAGAATGCGCTATATGAGATGTGTTCTTGAGTTATCTGATACTCGTTGCATTGACAATATTCGGATGAATCGTACTATGTTTAGGAGGTTGTGTGAACTACTTGTCAATGAGGCGGGGTTAAAACGTTCCAATGATGTATCTATAGATGAGATGGTTATGATGTTTTTAGTTACAATCGGACACAACAAAAAGAATAGAGTTCTGCAAGTAGACTTTTGCCGCTCGTGGCAAACAATTTCCAAAGTGATCCACAGGGTTCTCCGTACAATCCTTCGACTTCATCCTTGTAACGTCCCGACCTTTTTCGAAAATCAAACCACAACTCAAACCCAAAACCGGTTACTCCAGAGCAACCAAACCATTTTTTTTTTAAATCAACAAACCATCTTTATTTAAGAATTTCAAACAAAAAGCCCCAACACTTGGGCAATCAATATCAAAATACTTAAAACAACTTAACCCAGAATCTTGAACCTTGAATCTCCAGTACATAAACTCATAATCATGAACAAAATAATTAACTCATCTAACTTGACTCCTCACGAGCTTTCCGTTATCCCGTCAACGTTGGTACTGCTGCTCGCCTCGCCCTGATTCTTCTCGTGATCCACTTCTGCTAGACTATCCTCAACCTGGTGAGTGAGAAGGGGTCAGTCTCGTCATTACTTCCTAAGGTCTTCGCCCAAAGAAATTCCTTACTAAACACGTTATGAGAGTTTCCTGCCTAGCACGAAAGCCATTCTCGCTTTCTGCTCTTAAATAATCATCCTTACTAAAACACATTATTAGGGTTCTTAACTTAGACAAAAGCCGCTCTCGCTTTCATCCTTTATATTTTAGTCCCTGATAGCTTATAGAAGTTCTGTACTTCTCTCTTAATTTATATTGTGTTTACTAGGGTTCACCGCGTTACGTATCGCCGTCCGGTGTCCCTATCCTCAAGGCAATGGTACTGCGTTACGTATCGCCGTCCAGTCCATGCCCCGTCAACTACTGCGTTACGTATCGCCGTCCAGTAGTGACCCGACCATCTACCGCGTCCAGTAGTGGCCCAACCGCCCGGGGGTTCCATCTTATATACAAACATAAAATCACATACATAGCACAACGCGTGCCTCCACCTTAAATAGGCGGTGGGATGCCTCACACACATAATCGCGCTTAATTGAAAAATAACCAACATAACTGAATTAAAAGACATAAACTAAAAGACATCGACGGAGATTTTACCCCCTTTACACTCACCTCTACTTCAAGTGGAGTGACTTGAATCAATATCAATTTTTCGTAACCAACTGCTCTTTGCAACGCCAGGCATCGTCATCGTGAACCTTGTGCACTCTAAAACCTTGATTTCATTCTTAGGCTTTCACCTTTCCCCTATGAATAGACACGTTCAGTTCACTCGATTATATAAGTGCAGAATCGCCATACAATAATCTATCATTGCCTTCCAATTCGTTCTTCCCTTCATTGTGAATCTTACCCACGTGAATTCATGTATGGGTGAATCACTACATGCCAAACGAACATTATGGCAATGACCATCCACAATTAGAGAGATAGAAGCCACGTTTACCTTTATACCAATTGGATTAGAGATATAAGCTCCCCCGACACCTTCAATCCCATCCATATACACAATCAATTTGTGGGTTCCTCTCTTTCTCTTTGCCTTCCGGCGGCAGCTACAGCAGCTATGCACCGGTCCTTCTCCGTAATTCTCCTAATCGTCGCCCACTATAAATTCATCGGTCGCCCTCCATGGGTTTTCTCTCGCACGATCACTGGTGGAGGGGTGCCACGGCGGAAAGAATGGTAGCAGGCAACCACTTCCCTCCCTTTTGTTTCTCGGTTGCATCCACTTGTAACGGAAAGGAACTACAGCGAAGGAACCCCCACAACCTAAACAATTAATCCAATTCAAACCCCCAAATTAATTATTTCCGTTACATCCCATTTCCCGGCGACTTCCAGCTTTCGTTTCGTGTTCCGCCGCCGCTCTGCCTTTTGCTTTCCCGGTCGCCTCCATAGAGGAAGACGATTCCTCTTCTGTTCCCCACATCGGGCCCCCAGCCCGCTTCCTTCTCCTTCTTCTGATGCCTGGGCCTCAAGCCCGCTTACCCTTTCTTTCTTTCTTCCTCCATCCCGGGCCACCAGCCCATCTCCTCTTCTTTCCTTCTCCCTAGGCCGCCAGCCCAGTCCACTGCTCTTTCCTCCCTTCCCATCTTCTCAATTCGGGCCAAAGCCCGTTTCAATTTATTTCAAAAACCTCGCCACTCACAACCAGGCCCACTCCTCCTTCTCGGCCCAAACCAACCCATTGCAACTAATCACAATTAAAAACATCTGTAACCTTCTCATTTTATATCCAAATTCGACACCGTTTGAACCGTTAGTTCACGTTTTGAGTCCTCTTAAATGTTACGGGTGAATTAGATAAATTTTTCCAAGGGTATAAGAGTCATTTTGACTTTTGAAAAGAGCGGGGTGTAACATTTCCTCCACCCTTATAAAAATTTCGTCCCCGAAATTTGCTTGAAACTCATTCCTATGTCCACACCGTCCTTGCGCATCCTCGACTCAAGAAGAATTTTATTATCTCGATGTGAGCTTCAATGTTGCCAGTTGTTTTTTTCCAGCATAATTTACTTCACTTCTTATATTTCCTCTTTATCATAAAATGTACTCTCCCAAGCTCGTTAGCACCGAGTAGCTCTCCTCTTTAATTCCATCGTTCAGGTGATGGAACGAAATCTCGATTCAATTTTTTTTCGGTCTATCTTATTCAGTACTTGGTGGTGGACCTTAAATCAAAATCGAGGTATCCCATCTCCTCCCCCTTAGTGTGTATAGGCTACTGGTTTTTTTAATATGTAACAATTCTATTGAATATAGAGTCTTGTGCATAAGATGATGGTTTTGAGTGTGTACATGCTGTTGGTTTATTACTCTGTATAGGCTGTTGGTTTATGGTTATTGGAACAAGCAATGGGTTGATTTTGGGATAGGAAACATGTGTGTATAGAATGGTTAGGAAACTTACATGTTTTTGGGGAAAGTTTTCAGTCCATTCCAACATGGGTATAATCTTGTGGATTGAAGAGAAGAAAGTTAGTTGGTTGCTGTAAATTATGTTCTGCAAACTTGTCTCTAGTAGGCTTTGGATATATTATATAGATTTGGTTGTTGTGTTGCAGGTAACAAGCCAATTATATTACATATATTGCAGGTTATATATGTGTTAAATGAAACAAAACTATGATGAGATAGGAATCTCTTGCTTTTGTTCTTGTTTTCTTTTTGGATCGGTGCATAACAGTGTTGCGTGTTGGTTTTCTTCTACTACAGGTTCCTCAGTTGTATTGTTTGTCTGATTTAGTTGACGGGTCTTTAGAGTTGTGGATTCAATGGGTGGGATTTATACCTATTACTGCAGGAGCAGAGTATGTGAGGATGAGGAAGCAGGGACTGCAACGGGTAAAAGAAGGGCTGAAATTTGTTTCTTACAATAACAATAATAAAATATTTCAATAATAGTTAGTAAGGGTAATGGGTTAAATTCATAATATAACCACAATTATAATTCATCAAAATCCATTATGAAATCCATCATGCAAACAATGGATTTATCCAAAAACCAAATGTACTAATTCCATCATAAATTCATGGTTTTATAAAACCAAGGTTTTAACCAAAACCTTCATTTTTCAAATCCATGAAGCAAACGAGCCCTGAGTCTCCCTTAAAAGGGGGGGGGGGGGGAGGGGCGATTTTCCTCTCTAAACTAAGATAAGTTTGCAAATTAGATTACTAGCACCTAAATGCACAAATTTATGGGTGCTAAGCATAATTATGCACAATCCCTAGGATGCTAAGCACAACATATGCACAACCCCTAAGTTGATAAGCACAAGCATGCAAAATCATGGTGAATAATACCTCTAATACTCAAATTGATGCAAACCCACACTTAATCATTCAATCCAAACAAGTTATTACAAAGTAGTAGTTAGGGATCTACAACACCTAAGAGAAAAGAGTGAGCTTCTAGAGAGAGAGAGAGAGAGAGAGAGAGAGGGATTACAAATTTGAGCTCAAGATCTTCTTCTTCTAGGCTTGAATCTTCCACCCGAGCCTCCAATGATGTTCCAAGATCACTCTAGCACTCTCTCTCTCTCACTAGTACTCCCCTTTGGTGTTTTGGTTGAAACCCTAGAGAAAGAAAGTGTTTCTGCTCCAAAAACCAGCTCTCCTTTCTCTCTCCCCGCTGATCTCTTCATATTTGCTCGAAAGTGACCAGTTCACGGACGCATTGGCCAGTTCACGGCTGTGAACACCTAAACGCGTATGTGAACTCAGCATCGTCCAAAACGCACCACTTGACTGTCCTGGGTTCACGGTCAATGGCCACAGTTCACGGTCTTAGAGGCCGTGAACTGCCTTGTCTTCAGTAACTTCAGGAACCTCGCTGGACGCCTCGGTGTTCACGGTTTTTGGTCAAAGTTCACGGACATAGGAGACCGTGAACTGCCTCGTCCGGCCGTGAACTGCGGCTGTTTCTTGGACGCCTTCAATTCACTACTATGAGGCAATTGCCACGGACTTCGGACTTTTCTTCGGTTTTGGTGCTTTTTGACCTCCAAATATCCCAAAACTCGTCCTCGATCCTTCCACACATGCTAGGACCAGAAATGGATCAAAACAAGCACAACCTAGCGTGAAATTTGTCGAGGAACGATAAAATACTAAGCTAAACGAATAAGAAATGAGGGGTAAAATGTTTACATTTGAGCCCGAATCACAACCTTTCACACCACGTGGCGTTTTCAAAATGCATCATTAACAAAAGCAAATGATCAAGCGATAATCTCATCACTTTGATTCCCAAAAATACTAGGACCAAACCTTGAGAAAACCAGCTCAACCAACAAAGGGAACTGCAAGAACACAAACAGAATGGATGGCACATATGCCACCATCCCAATCAGAGCAAATATCCACCTCATTTTACGAGACAAAACAATGTGAAGTGACGCACCAAAAGCAGCCAACATCGCAGCTATCGACGAGAACAACGCCAAAAGCCCGATCCCCATCTTCACAGGCAATGACCTCACAAAATCTTCTCCCAGTACCTCGAGGTCAGGATCCCCAAGAACATGAGGAGGGAAGTGGATGAAGAGAAGAACGCTAGAATTTCTTCAACTACAAACACCATGAACGATGGTCTTTCCATATAATTAGGGTTTCCAGCGTCGTTGGAACCCCCAGGTAAGGTGAAAGAAGTCGCGAAAGCAGCCGCCACTACAAGTGCTTCCACGAGAGAGCAGGATCCTGACTCGTCCCGAATATCACAATAAAAATCTCAATTCATACCCAAGTATAAACCTTAACCGGGTGCAATATAGAGTAAGTATGTATAAATATCAACCCGGGTCGGACCATGTACCCCTTCTTCGATTGTTTGAAACATTATTTTTTGTGAAAACGACAATCTATAACTAAACATTTGAAAAAGTAAATGGATTGGACACTAATTGAGAAGGCTTCACCCGGGTGTTGCTCCCCTAGCTAACAATAATGACTTGTCGGATCGAATTCATTTTTTTTTTTTTATAATGGTGAAATTATATTAGACAAAGGAAATAAACTGTACACAAGGAAAACAGGATCAAGAGAAATGATCCTGGGGAGAAAGGAAAGAACCAAAATAAAGAAAGAAGAAACAAAAACCAGGTCGGAAAGAGAAAAGACGCACAGACACAGGGACAAAGAACCAAAGCCGAAACCGATTACCAGAAATAACCTCAAACGTCCCAACAGGGGCAGACCTCCACACTAACGATACAACTCATCCTCCCTATCTTTGAAGACTACCTGCTAACATATCTGCCTGAGGAAGGAAACTCATCACTTCCACCACGTCCAACAGCACCTCCAGCCGAGACCTCGCGCAGCGAACTAACCCCGACTCTCGACCGCAGCGATCCGTGCCCTCCCCTGAAACAGCAACCGAAAAACGGGGGAAATCGACAACTACAGAATCCTCCCTGATCGAATTCATAGATGTGGGAAAATCGGTTGTAAACCGTTGGGAAGTGAAACTAGTGAACAAACGACACTCTCTCGGTCAATTGGCCAAGGGATTCCGATTCAAGCTACCAAAGTAGCTCTCTTCTCCTATCAACCAAGGGTTGCCTAGACTTTACCCCTCGAATCAGAGTTCGGACAACCAAATTACAACTAACCCTAGGTGCTAATACGAATTAAGAGGTTCGCCCTAATTTAACCTAAGTAGGAGACAAAAATTTGCCCAAGGAAATCCAGCTTTTACAATCCTTTACTCAAAGGAGATTCCCCTTTATCGAGGTTAAAATAGTATAACACATTGAAATGCACAAACAAAATCTTCATAAAAATATCTCATAACTTTGTATTAAAACACAATCCTCACCTACCAAATTAACCATAATAATAAATAGAGATAAGAAATTAGTACCTATCTCTAACCCCATCCAAGTGAACTCGGTAATAATAGATGATAATTTATCATCTTAAGTAAATTATTCTCTTTGATGAACATCATCATCTTTAGTTTTTACCATACAAGGAACTATTCGGATTCGAATGTAATCGGGAGGGTGGAAAGTGTGATTGTATGTAATTAAATAAATATATTATTTTCTTCAAATATAATTATAATTTGTACTTAATATACCTTATTACAATTAGAATTTGTGGGAATGAAGTTTCGTATACTTCTTGATACTCTATCAAAATAGAAAATACTCGTCTTTACAAAAATCGATAGTACGTGTCTTATCTACTTTTCGAACCCAACTTTTATACTAAATCAAATCGTTTTACATGCAAATAGATCTTAGGTGACAACATGCAGTTGACACAAGTAATATGTAAATTTACATATACATCGATCCAAATGCTCCCAACATTGCTGCATTCCCAATGGCATAAAAATCATGTTCCCAAGTATGGATTTTATGAGCAAAATAGTCGAAATTGATGTCATCTTTAGCCAAGGCATGGAAAGTACTTCCATAGTCTTGTGCTCGGTCAAGAATGTTGCTCCTCTCATCATATTCTTGGAATATTTTTACTGGAGGGTTTGTTAGTAATGGTGATAGCTTTCTGCCTTGTACTTGATATGGAAGATTCAGGATAATGAAAGTTGAGAACAAAATACATGTGATAATGACAGATGATGAACTAGGAGACCCCATTTATCAGATTCTTTCCTATTTGTTCGATCAAAAGAGACTGCAAAGGTTTGTTGATGGGTTATAATTGTCTCTCAGTTACTGGTTTGGGAGATGTGAATCCATCATTATGATGGCAATAAATTTATAGGGATCATGTTAATTTTTCTTTCTGATGATTAGTTACTCTAAACTAGGTTGGTAATGCTTTTGATGGTTAACTTCATTATGATTAATTTGTTCCATGGGTATGAGCAGAAAACTTACACGGGATTGTATCTCATTATTATTGAGACACAACAATGGGATTGGATGCCATATCCATGGAACCATACTTATTAGAGAAAAAGAAGAACGTCATTGCCATATTAAGAAGCTAAGTTTAATTGTTATTAAGATTTTAACAGTTATGAGCCATTTAGCTATTATTACGATTACACATTGACAGATCATACCATGGCCAAATAAAGTAAAAAATTGGGTACTTTTTTTATTTCATCAATCGTTACCTATTTAGGCTTATCTATTTTTCGGAGATAGAATTTGAGGCCCATGATAGTGTCAAACTGATAATTTGATACTGGCAATATGCTGGCGGGTCATTGTTTTTTAGATTCGAGATGGATTGGGTTAGGTGCAAGCAGCATGGAATTGAATTCAAATAAAACTAGTTACAAGCATGGTCGTTGACCAAATTTAATATTTATGTTTTTTAATTGCCTTTGTTCTTATGTCATGAGTTTCAATGTCATTTTCGCGCATGGTTGTCAAAATTTTCTTAGTTTTATATTGTTTATTGTAGATTAATTAGTTAAAGTGATTCTCATGAACGTGATATGTACTCTCACTTTATCATTATAGTTCTTGTGGCTCCTTTTGGTAGAGCATTTCCCCTTAGAAATCATCACTCTAATTCCACTCTTAATACTTCTCTCATGTCCAGTTCAAGTGTGTATTGGTGTGATTCATCGATGCCTATTGTTTGCCATTAATGTGTAAGCGATGAATGTTGAAAACAAAGCTAAAATAATTTCGTGATCATAGTGGTGACTTTCTAATTTTATTTTGCAATTGTGTAGTCTATTGACTTTGATACATGAATGGTGCAAGTTAGATGCATAAAACTTATGATGATGAGTGACAATGTGGTATGCATGTTTCTAGTATGAATCTTCATTTTACGAAAAAATTATAAAAGAACTAGAAGTAGAGAAGTAGTCAACCACTATCTCTGATTGTTTAGCAATATTGATCGGAGAGCTTGTATGAGAGACCGGGTTCTTGTTCGGTTCTTTCTTGTGTGATACATCTCTCTCTGCATGATTATTTTGCTTAACCTTTGCATAAACCCGAGTAGTGGCACAACTAATATGGAAGATGGAGACGTAGGTATAGCCAATGGCATAAATGATCACTTTTATCAAGTGATCATTATATCCATTCATCAGACGTCGTCGAACCTAACCTGCTTCTTTATTTACAACTTATTATAAACCAATCTCTATTCCTTGAAATCCAATTTTGAATCATTTTCAAGGTTCCACATGATTGATGGTTTCTACCATAAGTATTATGCTTTGTAAATGAAAACTGTGTTAGGGATGAATTTTGTCTTGAAAAGCTACATGCTTAAAATTTCAAACCTGTGTCTTTATTTGTTAAAATTTTCTGAAAAAAAAACTAGGAAAAAGTTTAAAGGAAAAGCATAGTGCTAGCCACCAGCTTGTTTTGGTATAACAAACCGTTCTAATTTGTTCATTCCTTTTAAGTTTTCCCTTAGTGCATGTTACTTGTTTGTGTGCCATTGTTGATCTATTAACTTAAAACACTAAAGTATTACCTAAGAAAGAAAAAAAAAGATATGCAAAGACGCGTAATAAAAAAACTGAACATCGAGATTGTAAAGTGAATCAAACTCTTTGATGAACATCATCATCTTTTATTTTTCACCATACAATGAAGTGGTCAGATTCGAATGTAATCGTGAGCATGGAAAGAGTGATTGTATATAACTAAATAAATATATAATTTTCTTCATATATGTAATTATATTTTGAACTTAATAAACTTGATTACAATTAAATTTTGTTGGAATGAAGTTTTGTATACTTCTTGATACTTTATTAAAATAAAAATTACTCGTCCTTTACAAAAAATAGTTCATACATCTTTTTTATTTTTCAAACACAACTTTCATACTAAATCAAATTATTTTACTGGAAAATAGATCCTAGGCAATGACATGCAATTGAGACATGTATTTAAAAAATTTACATATACATCGATCCAAATGCCCCCAACATTGCTCCATTCCCAATGGCATAAAAATCAGGTTCCCAAGTATGGATTTTGGGAACAATGCAGTCGACATTGATGTCGTCTTTAGCCAAGGCATGAAAAGTACTTCTATAGTCTTGTGCTCGGTCAATAATGCTACTACTCTCATCATATTCTTGGAATATTTTTACTTGAGGGTTTGTTAGTAATGGTGATAGCTTTCTGGCTTGTATTTCATATGGAAGATTCAAGATAACGAAAGTTGATAAGAGTATACATGTGATGACAGATGATGAACTAGGAAAACCCATTTATCAGATTCTTTTTTATTTGTTGGATCAAAAGAGAATGAAAGGTCTATTGTTGGGTTATAAATGTATTTCTTAGTTGTTGGGTTGGGAGATGTGAATCCATCATTATGATGGTAATAATTTATAGGGATCATGTTAATTTTTCGAACACAGATGATTAGTTACTCTAGTTTATTAGGTTGGTAGTGCTTTTGAAGGTAAACTTAATTATGATTAATTTGTTCCATGGATGTGAGCAGAAAACTTACATGGGATATAATGAAAATATCTGTGAAATTATCGTCTAGTAGA